CGCATAAACGTGACCGTGCATTCCATGCATGGACAGCTTCCAAAGGGGCGTAACTTCTACAAAATTGTTCCGGCACCCGGGCGAATGAAGTCCCCCTCCCCCAGGTTTAAATGACGTAAAACACCAAGTAACGATTATATGGCCTAGTAGCCGCCATGCTGCGGTCAGTAAAGGTACCACGCGCATCCGACTGTCTCAAATGACCAGGTCACATGGTCTTGAGAGTAAGTTAGTCTCATCAAAAAGCCTGGTATAATCAGCGTAATTAATCTACTTTAGACAGATTCAAAAAAGTAGTATAACCTCACTTTACTCAGGACCGCATCGTCTGGAACGTAGAAACCAATCAAGCAAGCCAATAAAGCGTTACCCCAGGCCCGTTTGACGCAATGAATGAACAAAAGATTTTATACTGCGTGTCTTTAAAAAGAGACCGTTAATTGAGACCCATATGTGGCTGTCTGGAAAATAATTTGAGTATGTCTGAGGATACTCATCCAATCATATGACATACATTCCAATTTGTATTTCAAGGCTTACCCAATTAAACAACCTCCAATTAAACCTTCGTAATTGAAGCAACTCGCGAACATTGGTGACGAAAATCCAGGCAATCATTAAATAGCAAAGATGGTTGTTTCGGAAAAAAAGTCTTCTTCCAAAGTAGGCTATTATTTTAAGTTGAGTTGACCCAATTGTAAAATAAACTCGAAGCGTTCAGCGGGATTTGAAACCGCATAGTAGAGAAGGTAAAGGCCTTGCGGGTTAAAATCCCGTCGAACGCCTCGAATTTATTTCACAATTGGGTCGACTCAAATTAAAGAATTCCGCCAAACCTCCTAATTATTATTTTGAGGAGTTTTCATGAAGAAACAAGTTTGAGCATTTGGACAGGCATCAACGGTAGCTTTTATCCACACTTTTATTACGTTAGTAAATGGCCTAGGCAAAGTATATGCGTTAGCGCGTGTTCCATTACTAGCAAGCCTTAGGCTAAACAGGAGAAAAAAAA